GTATATATATACAGTCTATATGCAGTAGTGTGTACGGTGTGTGTATTTCGAAGTCACTGATTAAACGAATTAAGTAGTCACGATTTGAAATAAATTCGTAAATTTTTGTATTTAATGAAAATAAATGTTTATTCAATAAATAGTCATCGTTATCTGGAAAAAAATCGTAATATTTTATTTTATCATTATGACATATTTAGTTCCTATCACAATCTGTTCTTTTCTGCATATTACTTTTACAAAATAATGTCGATGTTTCACATATGCCAGGCGTCCCGTGACGGCTTACATTTTTTTACATTATATTAAGTATTTTTACAATATAACAAAAGTTACGATATTTTATGTTTTAGTTCATGATGTTAAGTGATACACATTCAATGTCACAGGGCTCGTAAGTGCGCTGCCGCCGTCCTTTTAAGAATTGGTACGCTCTTTTCATGAAGGACCATTAGTCGAATTGGTTCGGAAATATTTCAGTGTACGCTTAGTTGTGGAACGACGGACGTCGAGATGATTCGGGTGGAATTTAATATTCTACCTTGACGTCCGACGATGAAACTCAGCTGCATTCATCCGAACAACTCCTCTGAACACTCCGAGGTAATGCGGTAGAATACGTAGGGAGATCCCACATATACGCAACGCAAAGAGATCGAGCCGGAAGGTGAGGTCGTCGACGATGCAAGTAATTAATCTAATTTCAGTAATTGCTGTTGATTTAATTTCTGCCCAGACGTTTCGCCACGATCCCACCTAATAATAAGTGAGTTGTGACCTATTGGAGGGCATGCTATTCCAGGAGATGCCCGTTTAACCGAACTGATGAACTCATACTCATCCCGAATCTAGGGATGTCAACAACGAAGGCGTGAAACTCCAGCATGCTTCTGGATAAGCGTTGTTTAAATGCAGAAGTTTTTGTTCTCCTTTTATTACATTATTCAGAATTCCTACGTCGTGATAGTAAACAATTCTCGCGCTTAAAATAATTTTATGTACGGTAAACTATTACATCTGTTTTCAACCTCAAGTCAGCTGAAAAAATAAAAATTAATTTTACACTAGTGTAAAAACTTTAAAACTTAACGAGTACTTTTTTTTTCACTTATAGACATGTATATACCTGGAGGTAAATAACGGTCAGTCTTTTATTTTTGTACAGAACAGGGGGCAAACGGGCAGAAGGCTCATCTGATGTTAAGTGATACCCGCCGCCCATGGACACTCCTTCAGCCTACTACTGCCAGAAGGCTCATACGTGCGTTGCCGGCCTTTTCAGTATGAAATAAAGGCCATTATAGGAGAACAATATTCTTTATAGCAGCCCTAAGCCGATTTATTCGTAACGACTGACACTTTTCAATGAGCCCTATTACCGATACATTATAGAGAAAGTATATTTAGTTTCGCTTTCACGACACACTATCGACTATTGATTCGTTTTCATCCAATTTTAATGCGATATTTGCAACACAAAACCGTGCATGGAAAAGTATGAGAGGATAAAATCGTTGTGTAATACAATTTTTATGTTATTATTTGTTTTCGGTGAGTTTATCTTAATATACGAATTACATAGGCTAACGGACCTTTTTTATTGTCCGTTGAGTTAACTAACAAAAGTTCTATTATTTGTTAGTGCCTATAGTAGTTAATTTTTTGTATTTAGTAATTTAATTTTTCCTAATTTATTTCTTATGTTCGTTTTTGTCTTGTATATAAATTTTATTAATTTGTTGTGCATTCTTGTCGGTTTAGGGCGACCTGTTAGGACATTATTGTGTTTTTTTTTTTATAAATAAATATTTATTAAAAGAGCAGTGTTGGCCTAGTGGCTTAAGCGTGCGACTCACAATAAGGTCGTGCATTCGAATCACGGCTGAGCACGCATGGAGATCAATCATCCCAATGTTTCAAACCTAAAAATCGATTACATCATCACCATTTGTGTTATTACCTATCTACTTGTCTAGATAATAAAATTGGTTAAAATATAATGAGTTTATTTTAAAAGATAGATATACTAGCACTAAAAAAAATTGTAATACTGCAACTCTTTCTCTACCGAGGTTGAGTAAAGCATATTCAAGGTCATTTTAACAAACATCACATGTTTCAATATGTCTAGCTTATCTTATCTGAGATGTAATTTATCACTATTTGATTTTGCACATGAGATATCATATTAAAATTCAGAAAGTTTCTATATCTCAATAAAACAAATGAAGCTGAGCATTCTTAAGAAAATTATCTGTATGTAGTATAAAACTATGTAATATTTCATTAATGAGTGTCAAAATATATATTTTTGTAATGTTACAATTAATAAGTATATATAAATGTGAAAACAAATAAATTATGTAATTAATCACATGAGTGATGATTAATCATCACTCATCACAAACTAAATAAGAAAATCAAATAAACAAGAATAAATACTTCTAAAAACTACAAAATAGTGGTTTGCTATTATGTATATATCTTTATTAATTAAATGATATCAAAACGCTATAAAACGAATAATTTGTTACATGTTGTTCGCATTTGGTGTCTGGCGAAAGTTGGCAGGGCGAAAGTGAGCAGAACTAGTTAAACTTCACCTTAGATCCTGCCTGTCTTTATAGCTAAATAGCCAGCACTTCAAAACTAAAGATTTATTAAATACATGTATGCAGAGAATGATACACTGTTAAAAATCTATATAGAAATGAGAAGTATTTAATCTTTTATTTGTGAAATTTTTATACTAATTAATGTTGAATGTAACATACCTATAAGAATTATGTTTTTTTACGTAAAAATATGGCCTTACAGTCACTTCAAGTTAGTTGAAAGATTAACTGAGCGATTTGATTAACATAAAGACAGTCAAGTAAAGTAAACATAATTGTGTCTGAACTAAACCTAAACTATTTAATACCTATGATCTTGTTCACCAGTCCAATTACTGATAAAGACAGATGTTATCACATATTATGTTTTATTATGTTACTATGAGACATTATATCTTGTATTTACTTAGATGTCTGAGTTTTAAATAAGACTAGGTACTACATTTATTTAAGCATGTTACATACCAATTTATATAATATAAATTAATTTGTATGTAAGTATTACACAGTTTATTATAGTATTTTCTGCTTAAAATTTATTTTTACATCATATTAATATATATTTTTAATTCAATGTATATAATATATCATCTGTAGTTAAGTATATTTTGTAAGGATATCAATTTCTACACATTAATCTTGTCAATAAAGGATATCTGATTCTGATATTTTGTCTATATTTATATATTTTATATATTTATATGTATAAAATATCCAAAAGTCCACTATTTTAATATATAAGCAATTTTATAATTTGTATGTATCTGCAAAATATAAGAATGTAAGGCATAATGGCTAACTTTTTGTTTCAAAAATAAATAATATGATATGTTTAGAAATCTGTAGTGTCTAAAAGTTAATACTAGTGTTTTATTGAAGTATATAGGGTTCAGAATAAATAATATATGAACCTAGTGTTTGTTCCATTATGTTATCTTTGTCACAAGTATATTGCACATTTTATAAAGATAAGGTAGTTTATACACTCTTGAAACTTACTTGCAAATGTCTTCCAATTAGTAGACTATAACCAAGCATATTTCACATACACTGCACAAATAACACTATTTTGTTACACAAATTCACTGTGCACTTTATTACACCTCACGGATGTTTTTCCACAACGTACACAAAATTCCACCGTGGAATCTGTACTAATTGTGAAACGATATGTCACTACGTCAGGAGACTGAAACTTCGCAATATGAAGATGAAAATGTGTTTATTATTGTAATCTATTATTAGTTTTAGCGAATAAAATAATCATTTCATGAAAAAAGAGCGTGTCTACACTAGCTCTGAATCACAAACTTCCACACGCCAACAAGTTATTGCTCGCTAGCAAAACACTGCACTGAGTACTGACCACTGCAAGAAACAAGACGTATCTGAATTCTGAGTTCTGACTTCTGACTGAGCCTTTATGCTATTGCTATGACAAGTACATCTACATATTATATCGGAATCCGTATAATATAATTATTACTTAATTTCACTCTGAATGATTATTATTCAACTAAAAATTTTGCAGGTAACAATTTATAGCATTTACAAATAGAAAACCAAAATATTTAAAAAGCAGTTTTAAACTATTCCTTTTAAGAAACTATGCGAAATTGACACATAGACTATGAAGTTTGGTGCATACAACATTAAATTAATATGTATGTCAATTTTCAATTCATACCATCAGTCAGACGCAAACTGACAATATACTATTACTAAAGTCAGCTACCCTTCAAAAATGTACTTAGTTTTCACCATAGATAAAGCACTTAGGCGTTCATACATCTCCTACTTTTTTACCTAATGCACTGTGCAAACTGCAAACATCTTTTTTTCATAGGTACTTATGTTTCAGAATAAATAGTCGGGTATCTAATCGAGTCCTTTAGGGTAAAATTCAAACCCATGAATTAGCGCGAACTATGACTAAAAAAAATTACTCATCCATCCTCCATATACCTAGAAGCGATTTTCTTTCCCGTAATCCAATTTCGATAAAGATTAAATACAAATATTTGTGTCTTGGTATCTATGTAGACGATTCTTTGAAGACTGCTTCTAATCCGTTCAGCAATCACTAAGGTTAGCGTTCACTTCTGTTTTTTCGCATCGCACTATAAAGGACTCGTCACTATTTTTTTTAAATACCGACATGTCACTCGTTTCAATTTGTATGAACATTTTATTAAATAACTACTGTGATAATAACTTGTTTTATTAAATAACTATGTAATTAAAAGTTTAATTCACTTAAGCTGAAAACGAAAACAGTCACTATTTCCGCCAATAGTAGTATTTACAAATAATGTGTTAGACATACAATCACTTTTATTTACACAGTCAATATAGATCTAAAAAGGTAATCAGTCTTCAGTTAGGTTATTTGTTCAAAAGCATTATGTTGCCAGGATGACTAAATGATCCCTGTCGCGACCTGACGTCAACTGCTCTAACTGCAAAGTAGTATTTGAAGCCTGGTACAAATTGTGTCAATGTGCATGCCATTGGCAGTGGTAAAGCCTTTACATCTCCTATTTTCTTCCACAAATTTGTGCTAGGAGGAGACGGCGTTTCTTGATAGGCGTATATTTGATAACTGGCAATATTTTCATGAACATCTTCTCTATAATTATCTAATTTCCAAGATATGACTATTCCGTTTTCAACTTTAGACAGCTTTATCTCTGGTGCAGGTGGTATTGCTTTCCAACTAGGTGCCTGGTACTGTTTACCACTTTCAGGTAATGGCGCTGGATGGACCCTTCTCACGCCAGGAACTCTTTGTCTCACATCTGCAAAATAAAAAAAGTTATAAATTAATCTAGAAAACCATGGGTGACATTAATTTAATATCAGAAAATTTTGGACTTACTTTGATTATTAACAGTTTTAAGCATATAAGCTTGCTGCGTAGGACGAATATTGGAAACCTGGCCACCACCTATTGGAATGTATACTTTTCTAGGACTATTCACCATTGGAGCCCGCTGTGGTGGCATAAGGTTTTGGGGTGATATCACCCTTACAGCCTGATTTCCAGGTCTGGTTACTACTTTGCTTGGAGGCTCGTCATCTGTTAAGTCAACAGTATCAGAACCTGTTTGACTTTTAGTGTGAGGTCTTTTTTCTGGTCTTGGTACTACCGGCCTTATTACAGGCGTGGGTTGTACATTGATGGGCACTTTATTTGGAGTCTGATTTTGCATTATGTTGCTAGGTGTACTTTTTGCTGGAACAAGTCTTGGAACTGGTATATTTTGTGAAGATGTTGTACTTTGTTTTGACTTGTTCTGTAGAGATGGAGAGCGTACGGGCTTTGCTGGCGAAGTTGTTGCTGCATTGTTTTGACTTGGAGCTGTTGCTTTTTCCTTCGACTTTTCGACCATCACGACTTGAATACCGACAGAACGTGTAATTTTTAATGGAGTTACTAACGAATTTTTTCGACATGCTTCCTGAACCGATCTTAAAATTACTTGGAGATCTTGATTTTGTTTTGTAATCGACTTAATTTTATTTCTATGTTCATCTAAAGACAAAGCCATTTTCTTTAATTGCGATTTCATTTCGCCTATGTTGCCCCTGTCAACTACGCTTTCCACTATTTTCATAATACAGAATTCCTCTAAATCATTCCGAGTCATATCAGAGACGTTTTTCTTGCATAGTGACAAAAAGTTTGTAGGCAACAGAGGTTTATTTGGAGGAGGAGATGGTATCTCTGTTTCGTTTTTTATCTTTTCTGTATCAGATCCCGCTGTATTTTTTTCATCCTTTACATCTAATTCATTCATATCTGAAATATTAAAATAAATGTTAGTTCCTCTTTTTAAATAAGTTAGAATGTTTTATTTGATGTCTTACTTTGTTGTTTTTATTTTACTATCTTATATTGTTAAGAAATTGAAGTGTGTCTGTAGTTAGTTTTTTTACATCATATTTACTAATTATTGCTTCATTGAATTACATTTTTTAAAAGTTACAATAATAAATACCTTTTTCAATCATCACATTATTGGTTTCCTGTTCGAGTTTCTCTTCAGCATGAACCTGATTATTTTCTAGTATTTCTTTAACATCCTTTGCAGGTATAAGTGATAAGTTATTTGCTAGGATTTTTTTTTCTCCGTTGGAGGTGTCTTCGTCATCAATTAATAAAATATCATCATCGTCTTCCACATTAATACATTGTTTGTTTGTTTCTTGAAGATCATTATTTTGTCCATTTACTTGATTATCATCATCGTCAGAAAAAATATCTAATGTATTAGACAATTTACTTTTAAGGGATTCTTGAATTTCTTCCTTATGTTCTATAGATGCCCTACTTTGTACATTACTATCTAAAGATTTATCTTCTTCTATCTTGGGTTTATTAATCACGTTGTTGATGTCTTCCTTACTTATACAAACAGGTTCGTCTTTTTCATTTAAATTACTCAATTCTTTGACGCTGCTATTTGAAATTTCCTCTTTAGTATTTTTTTTACCAAGCGATGCAACATTATTTCCTTTTAGCTTATTATCTTTATTTGTTGGAGAAACTGTAGTGGAATTGTTAACTGAGGGTTCCTTTTGACTGATACCGTCCTGTGAACTGTCATCATTAATTTCAATAGTGTTTGGATCTACGTTAGTTTCACTCGTTGCTTGAGTAATGTCTGCTTTAATATTTTTATCGCTTACGGCTATAGGCAGCAATGTTTCGCATTTTGCTAATTCTTCTTTAGGTGACTTATCTAGTTTAACATTAGAACTCTCTACAATTAAATCTACATTACTATTAATATTTACTGCATCATGTGTAACATGATTATTTAGTTTATTTGGCGATATGGCTTCGATTTGCGGCAGTGCTGTGTTATCAACCGATTCATTTCCTAAATCGATTTTTGTCTCACTCGTCGTTTTATTTTCAATATGGTCCTTGCAAGAGTGTTCAACTGAACTTACTTCAATACTCGTTTTAGAAATATCAGCATTGCTTTCTTGTTCTTCATCAACATCCATTTTTTCCGAGCTATCGTTTAAACTTATTAGTGGGGCCGCATTTTCTTCATTATTACAATCGATTTCTTCTTTAGAACAGTATGAAGATGTATTTTTAATATCAGTTCCGACTGTTTCTTTTTTATTGCATATTTCCGACATAGTCACCCGTAAAATGTCTTTCTCGTTGCATTCAGTTTCAACTTTTTCTGTTATTTCCGATGGTAATTTACGCTCAAGATCGCTATTTTTGGCGGTTTCATTACAATGTGTATTTAAATTTGTCTTTTCGTTATTGTCTAACTTTCCAGGAATAATATTTTTTGAGTCTTCTTCATTTTTTATCTCTACGGTTTGATCCTGAAATACTGTTTCTATTGTAGCATGGTTTTTAATCGAATCAATTCCCGTATCCGAGTTGTTGTCTATATTATTATCTTTACTGGTGACTTCAGAATCAGCCAATTTCTTAACATCTCCTTGGCGATTTTCTATACTCTCGTTTTGACTAAATTTATCGAGTAATCTGTCACTGGAAAATTTTTCATTAATATTTTCAGAATTAATGACGGCCATATTTACTTTTCTAATGTTGGCATCTGTATCACTATCGAAAATCAATTGCATTTTTCTGCATTTCCAAGCGTTATATCGGAAGTTTTAATGACCTGAAAATAAAAAAAAATTTTTTTAGTAACATATAAAATAAAAACAGTGACTACAGCGCTGTATTGTGGTGCGTGTATTTTGTTATACGTCACAATATGAAGAATCGATCTTACTAAAACTTATCGCAGTGAAATTTGGTTCGTAGAAAACTATACGTTGTTCGGTAAAATACGAATTTGTCGAATTTAAATAAATTTACGTAGGAGAGCTTGTTTGTTATTAAAAATGTTGTAATGTGTGAAATTCATTCCTCTCAAATGTTATTTTGTTTTTTATTTAAAGGGACTTAAGGGTTTCGGTTGTGGTCTCGCTAACAGCGTGGGGCAGTTGTCGTAGTAATAAGACGATTCAAGATTTGAAACTATGTTACAATTCTGTGATACATCAACGATATTGATCAAGAGTCTAAGGAGGTAAAAATCGGCAGTGATGATTGCCTAAACTACATATTCACCTTTAATATAGTTTAAAATATAATCTTTTAATCGATATAGTATATTATACTGGCACAATATTGTTTGTTTTGTCCTTCCAACTAAATTCAATAAAAACTTACCGATATTTAATACTTTTTAACTTTATTTTAACTGAATTAATCATTTAAAACGGGTATTTTTACCCCCCACAATTTGTGTTTATCTTATAAAGGGGGACACCCTAATATTATCGAAATTGCAAAGTCATAAAAAACTATGTGGCCTCGGCAGAAAGAAATTCTTCATCTGCGGTACTTAACCTATCACCTAAATTTGTAACGAGTTCTGAAGTGAATCTTTGAATACATTCTCTTTTTTCTGCTAGTTATGTTATGTACCTGAGTATATTTCGGCAGGGATGTGGAAAACCCTTATAGAGATGAATGGTATAGAAACTAAATATATTGATGACCAAACAAAGCTGATATTCCTCCTACTTAAAGTAGCGGAATGAGTATTTCTCCTAAAAAATATTGCTTCACTTTTGCAGGACACACAACGCTTTTAAAACGTCAATGTCACTTGAAATACGTCAATTAACAAATATGATTCCTATCAGAACAATCTAAATATGAAAGAAATGAATTGCTGTTTGTGTCGCTAAAACTCGAGAATGGCTGGACCTTTTTGGCTCTGACCGATTTCTGGAAGTCCAGGGAAAGTTTAAACGATGGAAAACATAAACTATATGTACAGAAAAATACTAAAAACGACAATTGAATTTTCCAATAAAACCTGTTCCTAGCTGGAAAATTAATGTCTTGTGTCTTTTTAGATTTTTTTTGTTTTTTTTTGTCGTATATATATAGATAGCCTTCAGAAATATATTTGACTACAGTATAAGGTCCAATCTCCTTAGTCTGTTTTAAAAACAAACTTGAGAGATTTTAATCTGGCCTATCAAGTAGTGTAAACACAATTGTGTTGCATTTAATGTAAATAGACATTTCGTATTAAGTTTTGACAATTTACAGAAATATATGACGTGACAGCTTAAGCTTATGTCATTCCAATACAAATTCGTTTAGTGGGTCAGCCAATTTAGTCAAGATGCCTTAACAGTAAGTGTATGTATGGAAAACTTAATTTAGTTAGTTAGTTTTCTACTTTCTACATACACTACTAGCAAGGCATCTTGGCTAAACCCCCAGACCTTTCGAGAAGTGGCATGACCTTTCGGAAGCACGAGGGTTGTCTTGCAAGCGGTCGATAATTGCGCGATTTTACCTGCCAAAGTCGCATAGATTTTGGGCTAGGTTCACCTACATGCTATCATGGAATTTTGAAGTTATATGTACTTTGTTTGGCGCGTTAGGGAAAAATGATGAGTGTTTTTGAGAGATGAATGTTTACGATGCGCGCGCACACCTTCAAAAAAAACAGACAGCCTGAAGTTAGCTATAGTCAACATTTTAGTTTTTTCTATTACTAGTGTCGTTTTTTGTACAAACGTAAAGTAAAATTTTTGAAAAGATTTTAATCTCGTTACGCCAAAGAAATCTAACTTCTAACGCGTGTACATAAGTACTCACACGTTTTTTTTAAAGAGGAGCAGTTCCATCTTACATGATTTTTGCGTTTATCCAGCGCACGCGTCGTGAGTTCTCAAGAAGTAAATTTATCACGTTTTGCAAAACTCCATAGCTTTGATATTAAGTAGAATTTCCATTTTTTATAGAACAGCAAACGGCCAAGAGGTTCACCTGATGTTAAGGGATACCACGGACACTGTCAATGCGAGAGGATTCGCAAATGCGTAGACTGCCTTTTTACACGCTTTATATTAGCTTCCTGTATGTATGTATGTAACCGACTCCTTCGGACTCGATTTTGACCCACTTAAACGGACAGATTTAATTCAAATTTTGCGCACCTGTCAAAGATCGATGCAATAATCCGAAAAAAAAAATAAAAAAAATTTAACTAAAAATAAATAATAGTTAAAAAAAACTAAAAAACACGCTTTTAAATTTGCCAATGTGCCATATTTTTCGTCTATCGAGCAACCCACGCGAGCCTAAATTAGGAATTATTTTTCACTTTTTAGTTTGATGTGCTTTAAAAGCGTGTTTTTAAGTTTTTTTTAACTATTATTTATTTTAAAATAAATTACTACTAAGAATCATGGGTAGGGTTTTAGAAATATGCATTCATTTAAATAATAAATACATTTAAATGATCAACGTAAACACAAATGTGCAAAGTGCCCGTGTTCCGTAACTCTCAGTAATGAACTTTATAATTGAGAGAATTAACTATCAAGGGCTCTACCCAAAATCACTTTTCACTTAAACGAATTCGTATGGGAATGACATAACCTCATGCTCACGTGACCAACGTGAAGGAATTTGTCTCGAGCCCCAATAAATAATAATAAATCGTTAATTTGCAAAGAACTTTCTTTAAGACATTACATTTAGATTGATTAATTATAGAAAAACACATAATCAGCAATATAAAAATAGGCATGCAAATGTCATTTTAATTATCATGTCATAATAATAAGTACAAATACTTAAAATTCTGTATTTGCGCCATCTATGTTTAGCAATAGTTAACTTAACACACATTGGTGTCAGCTGTTTTAATTTATTGTAAAAACCAATTCAAGGTTGGCGATATTGAATTCTGCCAATAATAAAGATAATTATTAAGAATAACGGAATGTATATCTAAAAAATAATTAAAGCAGCTATCATTTTATTATTGGGAGTGATTGTTGTCATTGTTTCTCAAAAAAAATATATAAGGGTACTTTAAAAAGGTGACCAACTATTTTTTGTTCAAAAAGAGTACACTTTGCATGTATTTCATAGGTGAAAAAAAAAGAAGAAAAAGCTATAAAAACTTTATTTTCTTTTAAAAACATATTTTTCTTCGGAGTGGATTTTTTGGCTACATGAGCATGTTAGTCTAATAATGTAGCCACATCCGAACAACTTCACGGCATATGTTTTTACAGAAAGTTGCGACTTCTAACTGCTCCAATAATCATTCCCCAGTGAAAAACCCTTTCAACAGCAGAATTAGTGCCTGGACAACTAAATTAATCTAAAAAAATGTTTTAGAAATAGTACAAATAAGTACTTTCAGAGTACAGGATTTGAAAAGAGTACGGTTTTCAAAAAACGAGTACAAAACTCAGTAAATGAGTATAGTTGGTCACCTTAACTTTAAGAAAGTATCTCCCTTATATAAAAAAAAACAAGTTTCAATGCAAAATGCTTTGTCTACACAACTGAGCTATCCACATAATAAAATAAATAACGGTGACAAGAAGACATACACAAATCTATTATTAGCATAATTGTCCTTCTGTATTTCTCATAATATTCGAGGCAAAACCAAAATATGGCTGACGACTGCCAGACGCGCACGACGGAATTACGGTATGAGTTCTAGAACACTACACACCGCTGATGAACGCATAACTATCACGCTCACTCAAACGATGTTAACGCAAGCTAGAGTGAGACAACTACTGCTTTCGTATGAGCTGTAGGAAATCCAGTTGAAGGTGTGGGCTGACCGGACAATCTATCGAACGCTGGTCGCTGAACACGGAACAAGAGAATATATATATGAGAATACAGGTTTACAACTTGAAGAGGAATGTTTTACTCCGCAAGGAGAACCTTCAACTTGTGATACCTTATCACTGACCAAGTAACGAAGATTACCAAGATAAATATTATACCTACCTATGCATATTTTTTTATTGCTATAAATTAATTATTTACAAGTTTTATCTATATAACCATAGCGATGACACAACTTTTAATGTTTCCTTTTTTTATCTGACATATGTCAAGTAACTTGACTGTTAAAAAGATTTATTTTTTATCTTTTTATATAATGCAAGCAAAATCTACTTATTTTGATAGAGAAACTTGGTTTCTTTAATAAAAACGTTATAAAAATAGAACAATGACTACGTTACTGCATTTACCATTGATATAAAATAAACCACCTGTCAATATTAGTTTAGTCAATATCGCTAAAAAAATATTAAAAACCAAAAAAAAAACGGTTCACATTAAAAAACTATGTTAATTTAATCACACGACGGCAACCCGAAACGCATATTATTTATTTTCTTGCGAAAAAAACGAACAAATGTCACTCATTCTTGCATGTCAATAATACACTACCAATAAACAAAATTTGTAAACAATTTAGGGCTTATACATGCATGTACTTAAGTATAATACAAAATTTTAATCTACATATATTATTACTAACCTACAAACGGAGAAGAAGAAGTAAATATCCTAAGTGAAGAAGACAAAATATAACCTCGCGAAACAAGCACTCTGTAGCACGGCGGTTTTGGTACTGACGTGACGTAACAGTAGAAGAAGAAAATGGCTGCCGCGATTGCAGCGCCAAATGGGGAATTATAGTACTAAAATTCAAAGAGCAATGCGTAACCAGAGAAACCTACGGACGCGGCAATCCAGTATGTTCCGGTTCACAGCAGCT